CTGGCGCGGGGCCCGACGCCGGCGCGGCGCTGGCGCGGCGCGGCCGCGACCTGGCCGCCGCCAGGGACAGGCTGCTCGCCGCCAGCGCCAAGGCTCACACGCTGCTCACGTCCGCGCATCAGAGGTGACGTGTTTAATATTATATTTTATTATAGTATAACTGAAACAACATCCACGCTGTGTCGATGCTAGTTAGTAAGTTACGTGACATCGCCGCCGCGCCCTGCTTATAAAAAGTAGCCCTTCTGTGGCTCGGAACTGAATGCTCGTCGGCAGCGGAGGGGTTGACGGTGTGCCCATAGCTATACCGCAACACAAGTCGGTTGGTCTTTGAGGTAGTTTCCGATATGCAGCTTCTAAGTGCTGGAACAACATACCTCCGCCAATCAACCTGCAAAGCACATTCACTTTTAAAGGAAAACTCAAGGAGTTTATTATTAACTCTCAAATTAAGAGTAAATCTATAAAAATTACATTTCGTTTATTTAATCTGACATTTATCCTTCTTACTTATCCTTCTTATTATTTTATTCGTTTAACTGGTATAACAACGTTATTCGTACACAAATTATGTTAGTCACATTTTCATATTGATTTATTTTTATAATTACAATTAATTATTACTTTCACTATTAACTCGTTGAGTACCGTCATTATAGACACAATGATAGAACAATAGGTTGCGGTCACCGGTGTACGCTTGGTGTTTGACAGTTTAATGTAATGTAAGATATCTCACAAACTCCCCCTGGAGCCCCTTGTCGTTGCGTCAGTGCTGGCGAAGTGTCGCCGCTCGCTTTAAGTTCTCGCAATGAGTGTCGGGCTACGCGATAGTTTCACGACCACAGTCTACCCATACTATTTTAATTGTCGTAATATAGAGTAGTAAATAAAAATGTTTATGTTTGTATACTTATTTTTTATTTATTTTAGGAAGAAATTTAAACGCAGACCTCTATAGGTCTTTTCTTTTATTGTAATTTTTTTAACATGTGTCTTATGTATTCCGATTATTTTCCTTCAAATTGATTTTCGTTTAATGTTCTTATATTGTTTTCTTTTTTATTTATGTTTTTCAATGTTTATATTTTGTGTTAATATTCGGTGGTCCATGTTTAGTGGCGAATACATTATTTTTCTTTCTTTCTTTCAAAAACTAGTATAGCTTTAACTTTATATTTAGTATGTTTATGTAGTGTATGTAAGTTAATTTAGTATGTTTTACAATTATTATTATATAAAATTAAATAAATAAAACTATTAAACTCTAATGAAGTCTAATTTTGAAAGTTTTGGAAAGTTATATTTTGACACTGTGAGGTTGGCTGAAGGAGTGCTAATCCCCAAATCCCCGGCAATGTAAGTCATCTCGTGTTGGAGAATGTTGAAGGGCAGTGCTGATTATTTACTGATCTATCAGTTATCTGTTTACAACAATATTATACATAAATGAATAATAAATGAATATATCCTTATTTTCTTAAACTGTATGACGATTAGAAGTAAATTAAAAGAGTAAAGTATTATAAGAAACAAATGTAGGAATATGTGTGTGTCCGCAGAGTGAAGTGGGGGGCCGGCGCCAACCCCGCGCTGTCGGGCGTGGCGGCGGCGCTGGCGGGCGCGGGCGCGGGCGCGGG